CATTATAGATTATATCTTGTTTGTTTTTACCCTAAATATATTTATTTCGGATGATATATGCTCAAGTGATTTGTAGTGATCTTAATACTAAAACTTTGGAAGTTTAACTTACAAGTGAAATTTCTTGGCTTTCTCTTGTTTATCCTTTTCCATTCATGCCTGATCGGTGGTTGATTTGCTTAAAGGGTATTTGTTTATTTCTAAAGTTGTGTTTTTAATCTGAATGATTGTACATTAAATAAAAAGAACTTAGAAGTTGTAGATGGTAGTTATATATAGAAGGAAATCAAGAATAAATTTAAATTGCTTGAATTTGTTGAAAGGTCCAGAAGTGTATATATGTAAATCTTCATTTTTATGAAGATGAGTGCGTGGGGTAGAAGTTTTGGATTTTGTGTAGACAATAAGTGCTCGCCTACACAGGGGAATGGGCAAAAAGAGCCTTAACAGACAAGTCGAGTTAGGACATATATTCCCTTTCAGCTTGAAGTTATTAGGAAAGAATGCAACATTCCCAAGATGACTGGTATTTTTTAGTCCGCACAAAGGACCTATTTTGTTAGTGCATCTTAATCTTTCATGGAAAATTCAGGTCCAGAAACTATTGTTAACGGTAATTTTACTTTAATTTTTTTTCTTGTTGGATTTAGGTCTTAGTTTCTTCTGCAATAAATATGCTAGTTAATTAGTTATATAGAGGTATCTTTTTAAGAATCTACATATCTGATATCTTTTGCTTAGCTACATATTTATGGTAACCATATGAAGGAGTCGTGCAAGGAGGAAAAAGGGGGGTTATTATTGTGGTAGATCCCATCTTTCCAGTATACTTTACATGTAATGGTAATGGGATTATTGTCAAATAATTCTTTGTGCGAGAAAGAGTTTGATAGTAGTTTTCTTCTGATATTAGTGGTACCTGCAAAGTTTTGATATCATTTGTGTCAGTCATGAGAATTCTTTGATTTGATAGTTCTGGAAGACATGATAACTCGAAATAATTGGTTAAAGCATGTTAAACGACTCAAACTATAACTTTGGTTAGTTATATATGCTTCTTTCTATAAGAACAAGATAACAGCTACTTCATATGATTGGCATGACATCCTTCTTCTAGAAACTTTCTTTCTCGTCCTATTTTAGTAGAGCTGTAAAAGAATGTTTGGTATAGTCATTAAATGTCATGTTAATGTTAGGATTATTCATTATTTCCAAGACTACTCTTCTACTTTAGCATGTAGTAGTACCACTTTTTTCTTTGCTAAGATGTGTTATTTTTTTTTTTGTATACTTGATTTAGAATGAACTAGATCAGCTAAAATTTGATCTGGAGTTGCTAATGCTATACCAGATTTAAATAAAGATGTCTATCTCTGAACAGGGTTTGGTGCTGTTGCAAATTTACAATGTTTTATTGATACAAGTATTGGAATTGTTAAATAGTGTGATATCTAACTTGTTATGGGTTTTTTTCCTTGTATTGTTGATTTTTTCATGTTTATTTGCTTTTCTCGAGTTAACCCTTTGTATTTTCATTTTGTCGAAAAACAAACTAATTGGGTTAATGACCATTAGCATCCACAATGTCTCAGTTGTTTCAATCTAGCCATCCATACTACAAGTGATTTAGAAAGCTACCTTGTGAACTTTTATATTAATTATTTTGCTGACCTAGTATCTCAATTTCACAATTAACTTTTTATGTATTTTCTTTAAATTGTGTTCTTCAAGATTCAAATATGATAATTTTTTTATAAATTATTTTAATAAATTTGACTTTTAATTGTTCTTTTTATATTATACAAATGGTTAAATGCTAATTTTGGTCCCTCAACCTCAACTTTATAGAACTGCACGTTTTTGATCCCTCAACTCTAAGAACTGCACAATTTTGGTCCTTCCGTTAATTTGAGCCGTTAAGTCTGTCCACTTAGCAACTTACTAAGGAAGCACGGAGGCTAATCAGATTCAATCAGTTTCATCTGTAAGTATGTTAGTTTTGTTTTGATATATCTCTATGTACATGAATGTTCTTAAGTGCGTAGAAATGGTTTTAACTTTTAAATAAATATGGTTACCAAAAATGATACATGATCACCTGCTCCTTCTCTTATTAAATCTTTTGTTATTTTCTTTTTGGGGCAAACGAAAAATGTTTTACGCATGGTTAAGCATTTTATACAGAATAACACAGGAGTAGCTGCATCAATGATTGTGCCTGAGGTACTTAAAGAAGATAATTATGAAAGGTGGGTCATTTTCATGCAACATTATTTAGTGGCTCAAGACCTTTGGGATGTGGTTCTATCAAACGAGATGCTTCATGGAGAAGACTCAAGGGAATGGATTAAAAGGAATGCGTTAGCTTTGCATACAATTAAGATTTCATGTGGAGCAAAAAAGTTTGATGCGATTAAGGAGATGAATTCAGCAAAAGATGCTTGGAATGCATTGGCTGACTTGCATAAACAACCAAATGGAGAAGGGAACAAAGATACAGGTTTATTTTCCATCCCTAGCTATCTGTCTAATGTATATAGTAATCTTTTTCTTGTTTCTTTTTTTTTTTTTTTTTGCGTTTGAACATGGGGAATTTGGGGGAATTAAGGGGATTTTTTCCAAGTAAGTGGTGTGAATAGAACTCTTATTTACTTGGACCCAAACTCTTAGGCTTAGTGGTTAACCATTAGGGCTGTTGGGTTGGTTCAATCTGTCTCCTGTTTGTTAATTTTAATATTGCCTCAGAAAATAATCATATCTTATAATCCTTTGCAGGAATCAAGACTGATGAAAGGAAACAAGCCTGTATCTTTGTACAGAGTAATGCAGGAGTAGCTGCATGCATGATTGTGCCTGAGGTTCTTAAAGAAGATAATTATGAAAAGTGGCGCATTTTCATGGAACATTATTTAGTGGCTCAAGACCTTTGGGATGTGGTTCTATCAAGCAAGATGCCTAATTATGGAGAAGACTCAGGGAAGTGGATTAAAAGGAATGCCTCAGCTTTGCATGCAATTAAGATTTCATGTGGAACAGAACAATTTGATCGGATTAAGAAGCTAAATTCAGCCAAAGATGTGTGGAATGCATTGGCTGATTTGCATAAACGGCCAAATGATACAGGTTTACTCATCTCTCTCTCTCTCTCTCTCTCTCTTTATATATATATATATATATTTGTCTAAAACACAGAGCAGTCTTTGCAGGAATCAGGACCATTGAAAGGAAACAAGCTGTGACATTGCTCAAGGATATAAGAAAGGGGAATTCTGCTGCTGTAAAAGAACTCTTTGAAACCCATTCTCAGTATTCTCCAGCATTAATAGAAAACGGCTCCACTGCTCTTCACGTTGCAATTACTGCCGGCCAGATAGAGTTGGCTAAGGAACTGATTTCAGTGATGTCAGAAGAACAGTTGGAAACAAAAGATAAGAGCGGTAAGACGGCTCTTTCCTTGGCTGCTTGTAAGGGAAGTACAGAGATATCGTAGAATGTTTGGTTGCAAAGAATAAAAAATTGCTTGAAATGCCAGATTGCGAGAAGAAGATACCACTCGTATTGGCATGTGCGACACACCATAAGTGTTTGACTCTTTATCTTTATTGGGTGACACCTATTGAAATTCTAGATCCAGTAAATGGGGACCATCTATTCTTCCTCCTGAGAGAGTGTTTAAGGAACCATATGTTTGGTAAGAGCTGCGTGTAAATTTTAATTATTATTATTATGTTTTCCATTTCTCTTTTCTCTGCTTTTTAACTCTCAAACAAACTGTATTTGAATCAGATATTGGACTGAATCTTCTGAGCCGATTTCCAGATTTGATATTTCACAAAAGCTCTTTGGAACCAACCCCTATTATTTCAGAGCTGGTCCAAATGCTATCACCATTGTTTGCTGGGATTTGGTACAAGCCTCTTCCATTTTGGGAATGGCCATTTGGTGAGTACGCGTTTCTTCTCTCTTTAAATTTTCAATTGAATTTCTCCGTGGGTATATTTTACTTCTATTTTTTTGATCTTATATATTTGAATTTTATTTTTCGCTGTAAAAGTTGATAGCCACTTACTTTCACATGTCTAATTCCATGTTTAAACGTCTAATGTTCAAATCTCATAAAAATAAATTAAGGACCAATTTCTTTGCGGATATATATATACACACACACTCACGCTAAAGAAACTTATTCCATTATGATAAATTATGCTTCACAACATAACTGGCCAGACTGCTTTCATTTAGATGCCAATTTTGTAGTGTTCGCTTTTTTTATATATTTAGAAAATAATTAGAACACACCCAATTTAACACAATTTTTTATTCTCATTTTGATTCAATTATTAAAATATAATATAAATGCAGTAAGTTTAGTTGGTTTCCTATGTTTTATATACATGAATGTATTTTTAAGTTTATTTGCTTTTAATTTCAAACTAAAAAAAATTAATTTTTTAATAAATATGTTGAATCAAAATGTGTACCAATTATTATCCATATATATATAAAGAAGAATTCACTTACACACAAGTCTTATATATTACACTTATATAAAATTTTAATCATTCATCTTACATACAAGTCTTACACATCACACTGACACAAAATTTCAATAATTCATTTCTTCACTTTCAATAGTTTAGATTTGTTCACATTTATTAAAATTAATTATCTTTGTCACCTAAAAAGTTGTGACAAATCTTAACCATTGAAAGTCGAGAGATAAATAATTGAGATTTTATATAAGTGTGATGTAAAAGATTTGTGTGTGAATAAATCTTTACTTATATATATATATATATGCTGCATCAAATATGAAGCTAATTAGATTCCCAAACCCAAGATTCATTGCGAGCATGATTAGAACAAAACAACATGATTGATGCTCGCAAGAGAGTGGTCTAATAACTTAAATTCTAAGTTAGAGATTTCAAGTTTAAACTTTAAGTTGGATAAAGAGGGAGTTGAGAAAAGAGCTATCCAAACTTCTATAAATGTAATTTATAATCTTTTTTTCATATTTACTGCATGGCTCCATACATCTAACTTGTTGATTCTAATTGTAACTGAAGGTCAAGTACATTACAAGAAAACCCACATTTAGCAATTAAATTATTGGTCCCTAAATTCTTATTTTTTGTTACAAATTAGAATTAGTAATAAAATCCCTAAATTCTTATTTTTTGTTGCAAATTAGAATTAGTAATAAAATTTAAACTATTAGTAAACCTTTGTTACTAATACTTTTAGTGACAAATTTGATACCTATCACAGAAGTGATGAAAAAAATTGACATTACGAATGAATTATTTGTAATAATTTTATTAATCACAAAAAACACTTTTTGTCACAACAATTTTCATCACAAGAATTATAATTGAGTGATAAAAATAAACATTAGTATTTGTGACAAAATATTTAGTTATTAATTATTTAAATTGATAAGAAAGTGAAAAGGATATTTTTGTAATTATAACACACATCTATAACAAAAAAATCTCGTCACAATAGAATTATTTAGTCACAACATTTTATAATTTTACAAAATTTATATGATTTAAAATCTAAAATCTAAAAAAAAAAGAATTTTATTAATAAAAATTTTGAAAATTTCTTAATGATATAAACATATTACTAAATAAAAATAGACAAATTGATAATCTTTAAATATATTATTATATCAATATATAATACAAAATAGACATAAAAATAACAAACAAATGAAAAGAAAAAAAACCATTAACAAGCATCGACTTCTTCTTTTCTCTACTGTCATCTCCAGCCACCATCTAATTCTCTTGCTTTTGGTGCTTTCAAAACCAAATCTAAGGAGGAGAAAAAAAAAAAAATTAAATCTAAGGCTTGCTTAATCCCCTTCGTGCCTTGAATTTCCTTACAAGAATTTTATCTTTTTACTTCTTTCACACGTAGATCTGAAAGGACTTCAGATTGGCCATAAATATGCAAAATTCATGATAAATAAGTCACCAACAGCCAAAACTTGTGTAGGCTGATTAAGGCATTCTGATTTTAGAAAAGAGAATTTCAAATTTGTGCAGGAGAGATAGGGAGGCCTTACTATTACAACAAAAAATCTATTATCTGCTGTCAAACACAAAAACAGAGAAAAATATAAATATTTATCATAATAATAGAAATTAAGTTCCTATTTAAATTATGAAGAGTTATTATTTGAGAAATAAACAGTATAGTATCCTTAATTAATTAATATCTATGTAGCCTTAAAAATAAACAAATGATAATTTTTAAATATATTATTGTATCAATATGTAGTACTAAATAAAGATAAAAGTAACAAACAAATTAAAAAAAAAAAGAAAGGCAATCATTGGTTGTAGAGAGACATGGAATTATGCACCTTAGCCAACGCCACTTGAGACCTTTGCTTGTTTCATCTTGCATAGCATTGATTCTTACCACTGTACTCTTTCAAATAACATTTCAACATGGATAAAATTAAATAATTATGCTATTCAGTAGCAAATAAAATAAGCACAAAAAAAAAGAATTAAATTCTAATACTTCAGATTCTTAAGAAATGATCTTTCCACCTGAAATAGGGAGATTTGAAAATTTAAAAGCGAATTTTCTTCGTTCTCTGCTCCCTTCTTGTAATTCGAAATAGCATATATACCCAAAGCAGATATCAGATGGGCAAATGTTATGTTTTAGTGAAAATCAGGAATGATTAAATTCCGGAGCAGAGTTAAGGGTGAAAGAGCAGTAGATATTTTTGAGAACAGAGGAGTGTAGAAGATTTAGGGTTGAGATGTTTAACATGTATATTTAAATATCTAAAATTTAAATGGAAAATAATAAGTATGAATAAAAGTGATAGACGATAGACATAAATAATTATTGACTGGGTTTGAATTTTGGAAGGATTGAAAACTAAGTGTTTTGAATCTTTGAAATCCCCTGAAATTCTTGTTGGATCGTCATCCTATCTTCCAAAGCCGCTGCTATTTTTTTTTATTTTTAATGCTGGTCGATTTGGTTTAGGACTTAGGAGCAAAACAAACAGCAACGATTTTTGAATTTCCTTTGTTTTTATGTGCACTCCTCCTTTTCATTTTCATTTCCATTTGATCTTTTTTCTTTATTTGTAGTAACATGTTAGTAATTAAAAACTTAAATTTTTATATTAAAAATTTTAAATTTAAATTTTGAGATAAGTGGATTAGGAAAGGTTTGGGAAATTGAAAACTATCGTTGTTATATAATTCATTATCTCATATCTCAAAAAAAAAAATAAAAAAAAAAAAACACCAATGTGACCCTATTTATTAGGGTAATGATATAGAAATAATCTTATTATATGATTTTTTATACAACATCCAAATGTTATCTTTAATTGATTAAATACATATAATATTATTAGTCTCAATAAAATAAAAAAAATTAGTTATTAAATAATATATAAGATTAAATGAATCTATATATTCTCGTTTTCTACCAAATATATATATATATAAGATTATATGAAAAAATTATAGATAATCTCTCAAACATTGTCTCACTTCTTATTGCCAACTCACCCTTAGTATGTCATTCTTTCTCTCATTTCCAATCATGGGTTGACATGTGGCATGCCAACTCATAATACAAGGCTGAACGTGATCCTGATATCTGACAATTTGTTTCAATTTCTGCTCATAAAAAAAAAAAATCCTCAATTTAATTCTTAAATACTTAAATCCTCAACATTTGAACATAAAAGAAAAAATGATTATTCCTCAACATTTTTCCTTGATTTGTGTTTGTTATTTTTTCATCATCTCTAATGATTTTTTAGACTGGTTATTAGTGACAAGAAAATTAGTAAAAAATTGTATTCAATATTTTGTATTAGTGATACAAAAATTAGTTTTTATTTGTTTCAGCCAATTACAACATCACAAGACATAAAGTTTCAATCAAACTAATTTAGTCACAAAATATATTTCATAATTTTGACTAATATTCCATCTACCACAATTATTAATTATTTATTTTTCAGTGATAATTTTTATCATCATAAGTTTATATTGTATTTGTAATTATTTTTTGATGAATTATTTTGTTGTTAATGAATTTCTTTTATCGACATTGAAAGTGTGTGTATTTTGTGATTTTTTTTTTTTCATTTATCATGAATATGATGATTTATAGTGATGAATTTTATAATGACAAATTGTATTGTGTCTGAATATTTTTTAGTAAAAATATATCCTTTTAATCATTAATTTATTTAATCAAACATTGAGCGCGTGTGCATATATGTGATTAATATTTAAAATCTATTACAATTATAATGAGTTATAGTGACAATTTTTATTATAAAAAATCTATAATGTATTTGTGATTATTTTTCAGTGATGAAAAATCTTTTTAGTGACAAATATTTTTCATCATATTAAATATGTGCGTATTTGTTATCAAATTTTGAAATTTATCACAATTATAATAAATTATAGTGACAATTTCAAAATTCATTACAAATTTTTATCACTAAAAACCCTTTCTCTTGTAGTGGTACCCATCATTGAGGATCTGCTGGTTGGTGATAAATGGAAAACCCTCCCAGAAAAGCCAGGTATATAATTCATGCCAGAAGTTAGGTGGTGGCTGTAGTGCTGTGAAATTAATTAACTCAATATTTGAATAAAATTTGTACTGTAGGTTATCCTTCGGTCCTTTGTGGATTGGTTTATTGCATCTACACAGTTCCTAGGAATGACACAATAACTTTTCCATTCAATGGAACAGGTTTCTTAATCAGTTTGATTCTGTTACTTATAAATTTCGTTGTACACAATTTTTGCTCTTAACTAGGTCGGTTGCAAGCATATAAGCTAAAGTATGACCGCGCCTATGCCCGTAAGATGGTACATGTCGTATGTGAGCAAGTGTCAACTTTAGAAAGAGACCAACTTATAAGAAGCGGAGCAGTGGAAGCTACCTTCAAGGCTATCAAGCTTGGCTACCTTGACTTTGTAAAACAAATTACAGAAGCTAATCCTGACATAGTTTGCAGCCATGATCCCGAACACTCAAGAGATATGTTAATGTATGCTGTAGCATATCGTCAAGAGGAAATTGCCGAGTTTCTTTATGGACTCAATGTGTGGAGGAACATGACGGAGTTTACCACAGATAACGACCAAAACAATATGTTACATCTGGCCGCAAAGATACCTCCCAGCTCTCCCCATATTCATCATTTCACTGATCCGGTTCGTCAAATGCAAAGCGAAGCAGGGTGGTTCAAGGTAATCCTCGAAAAAAACTTAAAATTATCTCAATATATTAGTACGAATTTGCTAGACATCTTAAAAATTAACAGTAAAATCACCATAAAATTATATTATTTTAATAAAATATTATAAAAAAATATAAAAAATAATGTCATTCATATTTTAAGAATAAATTGTTTGTCTTTCTTTAATGAAAGGTTATTAAATTGACATAGTTTTTAGGTAATTTTTCTTTTAATTTAATTTAATTTTTAGAAATAAGTACTTACATATCCCTATATGATTAAGGATTCAATTATGGTTGTCCTTTTCAATGATTAGTTAGTTTCTCACTTAACAAATTAGTTATTTCAGGCGGTTGTAAACATTGTTCCAACATTTTATGAAGGACAAAGAAATAAAAATGGTGAAACTCCTTCAGAATTGTTTAGGAAAGAACACCAGGATTTACTTAAAGAAGCTCAAACGTGGGTAAAAGAGACAGCAAATTTTGCCGCAATTATAGGTACTCTCATCGTTGGCGTTATGTTTGCAGCAGGTATTACTGTTCCTGGTGGTTATAATGGTCAGGATGGCGTCCCCATTTTCTCTAAAAGAGGATATTTTTGGATATTTATAATCTGGGATATACTTTCTCTCTATTGCGCATCTCTTTCAGTCGTGTTGTTTTTGGGTATCCACAAATCAAGTCTTACCGAAGAAGATTTCGTTGATGGACGCTTGGTTGTCAAGTCGTCCCGGGCCTATTATCTCCTCTTTGTGTCCATTGGAATGATGCTAATGTGCTTTCTTACTTCTATTAAACTTGTGGATGACCGATTTACTCTGCCGATCTATGTTATTGTTCTTATCCCTAGTTTCTACCTCTATGCCTTCATTTTTCTAAAACACTATATTATTGTGGTTTCATACCCTACTTTTGTCAAAAGAAACCCGCAGCTCACCATCTTGCGTCAATTGATATGTGAGATTAAATATTATTACTGCTCTTAGTGTTCTAAAACCCAAAATTCCGCACGTTGCGTGGACTCATGTGCTTCTTTTTCATTTTTTTTTCCTTTTTTCTCTTTTTTCTTGGATTTGGATGTGGTCTGTGTTTATTGTAATGTTATTAATGTTACAGTTTGTTTTGACATTGTATTTTAATTTAAATTCACAGCTACGGTATATCAATAATAATTCAGTATAACTATTTTTTTTGGTATAACTATTAATTGTTATATGTAGGGTTGATACATTTAACCTTTTCTTCAACAACGAAAAAATATTTTTATTAAAAAAGATTGATACATTTAACTCTTTGTTCACCTTAATTTTGACGTTTCATAAACATGCGATGATGAACATGTAAATATTTTTTTTAACGTACTTTTCAAATGTATTTGATCTTTACTAATTAAGAAATAATAATTGTTATGTCTTATAAAACATAAACATTGTGTGAAAGTTTTCTGATGTAAGAGACAGAAGTGTTTTAAGTGTTTAATGGTGTCAAATTACTTGTATTTTTTTATTAAGAAAATGTAATGTCCTTTTTAGAACAAGGGCGATTACAGGGGAAAAGAGAAAATGGATCAACTCATGAATTAGAGAAGCACTAATGGTTCTGTACTAAGATTTTGGGATAAATTATGTCTTATGAACATTAATTGTGTGAAAATTTTCTTAAGTAAATGATAGTTAGTATATAAGAAATAATTAATAATTATATATAAATTTAATACGTAAGATATGCTATCTTTTTATATGTATATAACCTCTCAAGCGTAGAATTGATTATTGAC